GAGTAGAAGAGCGCCCCCCTCCCTGGAAGCGATGTCCGCCTGCCGTCCTAGTCCTACGCGAGGCGGGTCCGGCCGGCGAGTCGACTGTGACCGCGCAGGGCCGACCCGAGCCAGCTGGGTCCCAGCTCGGTCGAGCTCAGCGTCTCTCGTCTCTCCTCGTGTGGCGGTGGGCGAGGCGTACAACGAAAAGAAGTTTACGTCGGCGAAAAAACACACAACTCTCTCGCACAGCACACAAGTTCGACACAAACCTACCATCACGACCTACCGTCCTCTCGCCACTCTCGGATCTGCCTGCGCAGCATGTGGTGCGGGAAGAGGCTAGTGTTCTCGAGCTCCGCGCCCGTCATTGGGCTCGTTGACTTGGTCGCGAGCCAGCGCTCGATCGCCGTCCGCTCGTAAGCATGCCCATCCGCCGCCATCACCGGGTCGCTCATGACCTCGGTCGTGATCGGGCAGATGAAGTCGGTCGGCGGCTCCTCCTCCCCCGGCGGCGCCTCCGGCTCTGGTGGCTGCTCCACCGCCGCCCGCCTCTTCTCCTCCAGCCTCGCGCTCTCCTCGAGCGCCGCCGCCAACTCCGCCTCCTCCGCCGCCGCCAGCGCTGCCTCATCCTCGGGCTCCCGCGACGGCCCAGCGCCGCCTCCGCCGCCCTTCCCCTTCTTCTTCTTCTTCTTGCCCTTCTTGCTCTCCTTGGCGCGCTCCGCCTCCTTCTCCGCCTCCTCCTCCGCCAGCAGCGCCTCGGCATGCCGCGCCGCCTCAGCCTCCGCCGCCGCTCTCTCCGCCTCCCTCGCCGCCGCCTCCGCCGACGCCTCCGCCGCCGCCTCCGCCGCCGCCGCCGCCGCCGCCGCATGCTCCTCAAGGGCGCGCACGCACCCGGCGTGGCCCTTCTCCTTGGCCATCTGCAGCGCCGTCCTGCCGCTCGCAGTGCACAACGCCGCGTCTACGCCCGCCCGCAGCAGGTGGAGGACGACGGCGGGGTGGCCGTGGGCGGCGGCGAACATCAGCGCGGTGGTGCCCTCGCTGGCCTGCGTGTTGATCTCCGCGCCGTGCTGCATCAGCAGGTCAATCACCCGCTCGCGGCCTTGGCTGGCGGCGTGCATCAGCGCGGTGCCGCCATTGCTGTCCTGCAAGTCGACCTCTGCGCCGTGCCGAAGCAGCAGCTCGACCACCCGCTCGTGGCCTTGTCTGGCGGCGATCGTCAGCGCGGTGCCGCCGTTGCTCTTCTGCAGGTTGATCTCCGCGCCGCGCCGCAGCAGCAGATCGACCACCCGCTCTTGGCCTTTGAAGGCGGCGCCCATCAGCGCGGTGCCGCCGTCGCTGCTCTGCTTGTTGATCTCCGCACCGCGCCGCCGCAGCAACTCGACCACCCGCTCGTGGCCTTGGCTGGCGGCGTGCATCAGCGCGGTCCAGCCGTCGCTGTTCTGCTTGTTGATCTCCGCGCCGCGCTGCAGCAACAACTCGACAACTCGCTCGTGGCCCCCTTGGGCGGACAGCATCAGCGCGGTGATGCCGCTCATATCGCCTACCCCGCAAGTCGCGTTGACCCGCCCGCCGCTGTCAAGCCACGCCAGCAGCGCCGCCTCATCGCCTTCCATAGCCGCTATCCCCGCCTCTTCGGAAAGGCTGCCCGGTGAGCCGGAAGAGGCCGCGGCCGTCGATCCCGCCGCCGCCTCGCCCGAGGAAGCGCCGCCCGCGCCGCCCGCCGTCGCCTCGCGCTGGGCCGCAGTCACCTCCTCGATGTGCTGCCGGAAGGCGCCGACGCAGGCGGCGTGGCCCTTCTCCTTGGCCATTTGCAGCGCGGACTTGCCGCCCTCAGAGCGCACCGCTGTATCTGCGCCCGCGCGAAGCAGGCGGAGGACGACGGCGGGGTGGCCGTGGGCGGCGAACATCAGCGCGGTCCAGCCTTCGCCGCTCTGCAAGTTGATCTCCGCGCCGCGCTGCAGCAGCAGCTCGACCACCCGCTCGTGGCCTCGGAAGGCGGCAAGCATCAGCGCGGTGACGCCTCTGCTGTTCTGCAAGTCGATCTCTGCGCCGCGCTGCAGCAGCAGCTCGACCACCCGCTCGCGGCCGTTGCCGGCGGCGACCATCAGCGCGGTGCCGCCTCTGCTGTCCTGCTGGTTGATCTCTGCGCCGCGCTGCAGCAGCAGGTCGACCACCGGCTCATTGCCGGTGGTGGCGGCGACCATCAGCGCGGTGCCGCCGTCGCTTTTCTGCTTGTTGATCTCCGCGCCGCGCTGCAGCAGCAACTCAACCACCCGCTCTTGGCCATGCTGGGCGGCGCCCATCAGCGCAGTGCCGCCGTTGCCGTCCTGCTTGTCGACCTCCGCACCGCGCTGCAGCAGCAGCTCAACCACCCCCTCTTGGCCCTTCTGGGCGGCAAGCATCAGCGCGGTCCAGCCTTCGCCGCTCTGCTTGTTGATCTCCGCACCGCGCCGCCGCAGCAACTCGACCACCCGCTCGTGGCCGTTGTCAGCGGCGTACATCAGCGCGGTCCAGCCGTCGCTGTCCTGCTTGTTGATCTCCGCGCCGCGCTGCAGCAGCAGCTCGACCACCCGCTCGTGGCCGTTGCCGGCGGCGCCCATCAGCGCGGTGACGCCGCTCACATCGCCTACCCCGCAAGTCGCGTTGATCCGCCCGCCGCTGTCAAGCCACGCCAGCAGCGCCACCTCCTCGCCTCGCGCAGCCGCTTGAATCGCCGCTTCGGTCAGGTCGGCGAGGGTTGGGTTGTCGATGCGCGTGTCGCTCATCGTGCCGCCAGAAAGAAGAATTTTTCGCGCACATTTTTTTTTCTTTTAGGGACGGGAGCGGGGAGCGCATCGCGAGTTCGCGACGCGGAGGACCACTCGTTTACTCTGACACGTAATCTTGAAAACGTCCAACGGAGCTCCGTGTTGCTTCCAGCGCCCTCCCCCGCGCTCCCTGCGGCCATGGCCGATACTACTAGTATGAGAGGTCATCTGGCTACCGCGAGAGCGACCCAACTCGTCGACATCGTCCGATGATTGTGCCTCAAAGTCAGCCTCCGGAGGCTATCGTGGGGTCGAGCCGTCAGTAGCCGTGACGCATGTGGTTCCACCACCCCTCGTAGGCTTTGCCTCTGACCGCCACCGTTCCCAGGCTGCCTAATGGGATGGAAAGGAAGGCTGGGCGAGCGTATAGAAGCGTGCTCGACCTCGTCGTGGCAACCTGCACGGCAGCGCTGGCAGGCGCGATGAGCGTCGTGCCACCTGACCCGAGACGGGTCGCAGGCGTCGTACCGAGGGCGTCGAGACCGTGTCCTGATGTGATCTGTACGGGTGAGTCTCGTCGGCGTCAAAGGAGCGACGTGCGACCTGTCAGAGCTTGCTCTCCGATCTCAGCGGCGTCGAGTCGTCTTCGGCGGCGACAATTCGGTACCTCCCCAGGACGCGCAGAGGCAGCTGCGACCCCGCCGAGTGGACGGGGGCACTCCGCGCCACCTGCCGAGTGCCCTGCTGCCTCTGGAAGGCACCGAGAGCGGAGAGGTACCAAATGGCGCAAATGACCAAAATCAAGATTGTGTAACGCGGGCTGTGCCACTGTGAAATGGAACTAGCCTTTGCAAAAGCCAAAACGCATCACACCAAACACCCGACCCGGCTCGATGGAGAGGCGTCCCTCCTCACCTAGAGCTAGACCTAGAGCCCTAGACCCCCTCGAAGCTCCCCCTCCGCAGCTGCGAGATCTCCTTGCGCAGGCCCGCAGCTTCGCTACGCGCCTGGTTTCCACCTCCTCCCTCAGCTCGCTGGCCGACGGCCACTTGTGGGGCTCGTTCCTGTGCGAGATGTGCACAAAGAGGTGGCACATCTCGATGCGCGTGCCCCGCCGCGAGCGCAGATGCAGCGTGCGGTAGCCCGGCCTCATGCGCCCGAGCACCACCGTATCGAACGCCACCTCCTCGGCGTCCACTGATGCATTCTCCTCGTCACTCTCCAGCACGGCGACCCGCAGGCTGGTCTCGTGCGGCTCCGCCGCCAGCAGATGCACCGTTTCTTAACGGAGTCGCTTAGGCGGCTCCGGTGGTGAGCCGGTGTGTGTGCCAGTCCGCGCCAGTCCGCGCCCTTGTCGTGCCAGTGTGCGGTGAGAGAGCTTCTTTGTTAGTGCCAGTGCGCGCCAGTCCCGTGCCCAGTGTTGTGCGAGGGAGTTTGTTGTAAAATTCTTTGTTTTTTTTAATTCTTTGTTAGTCCGTGGAAGTTCTTTGTTTACTACGGTGCTCGCGGATTCGACTGTCCCCCCGATCGTGCCCACCTCCATGAGGACGACGGCGCCTTCTAAAGGTTCGTCGCAGGCTTTGCCTCTTTTGGTACCTGTGTCGAACCTGTGTGCTGTGCGAGAGAGTTCTTTTCGTTTTCGTTCCCTTCCCTTACCACAGATACAAGGAAAGGCTGCTGGACAAGGGCGTGGGCGATGCTGGCGACCTCCTCACGGTGGTCGCTGTGAAGGGCATTGCCTCGCTCGGACTCCACGAGCTTCAGGCGGAGAAGCTCCGCCGGACTCTTCTCGGCCGACGGGGCTGGGAGGACGCAGCTGCTGTTGCGGCATCCTTTGGCGGCCTGTCGCTGGACGACACCCCTGCTGGGGTGGCGGCTGGCGACCAGGCGGCTAGTGGCGCGGCCAGCGCGCCCGCTCTCGACGGCATGGCCGTCGATGGCGGCTACGCGAGCGCCGACGATGATGCCGGGCCTGCCTCAGGTGGGCTCGCAGCAGCTTCAGGCTCCAAGAAGGAGCCTGGCTGCTCTCGCAGCGGCGCTCGTACGAGCGCTGCTGCTGAGGGCAGCGAGGGGGCGGTGGCTGGCAGCGAGGGCTGCAGCGGCGCACGCACCCCAGAGGCGGAGAGCGGGGGTGGTCGGCGGTCGGCGACTAGCCGGGGTCGTCCTCCCGGTGGGGGACTAGCACTAGCCGTCTTCCACATGGTCCCTCGGGTCCCTGCTGCTCCTAATCTCTTCGTACATCCTCCTGCTGATCTCCGCAAAGTCCTGCTCCCTCCCTCGTCTCGCCCTGCGCGTCTGCTCCGCCTCACCGTCTTCTGCCCTGCGTGCGTCGTCTGGCGACGGGTCCTCCATAGTCGGTCGAGGTCGCCGCCCTCCTCGTGCCTCTTCCCAACGTTCCCTCGCGAATAAGAGAATTTCCGGACCGTAAAACAAATAAAAGAAAACCTGTGGCAGAACGACGAGTGGCATGAAGGTTGCAGCGAGAATCGGTGAGGGACTGCGAAGACGGAAGAGAGATAGGAAAAGGCAGATCCGTGGGCGACGGCTAGCACCACACTCCTCTCCTTAAAATCCCTGTGTGGCGGCGCAGACTACAGTATCGAACGCCACCTCCTCGGCGTCCACTGATGCATTCTCCTCGTCACTCTCCAGCACGGCGACCCGCAGGCTGGTCTCGTGCGGCTCCGCCGCCAGCAGATGCACCGTTTCTTAACGGAGTCGCTTAGGCGGCTCCGGTGGTGAGCCGGTGTGTGTGCCAGTCCGCGCCAGTCCGCGCCCTTGTCGTGCCAGTGTGCTGTGAGTGAGGCTTGGGTTACCGCACCTCGTTTGATTGTACGGTCTCTCTTTGACTTTGTGGCACGCACGCATCGACATCGTCGTATTAGTTCTGTGATGTAAGGTAAGACACACACACTCCCACTCCACACAACCGTTCACCCTCGCGTGTCTCTTATTTTCGCTTTGACCGGCAAAAGAAAAATGCGATCGCCTTGACACGCTCTGAAGCCGCCCTCCCTGAGCACCTCCCTGAGCACCTCGTTTCGGCATGGATCCACAGTACGATCGCCGCGACGTCGCGTGGATCGCTGCGCTGCGTCGTGTGCTCGACGACGAGCCGTGTCCGACCGCGCTCGCCGACGCGCTGTCATGCATGCAAGCTGCTGGAATTTCCCTTTCGTATGACGCCATCCGGTCCAATGTGGAGGAGTGGCGAAGGGCGTGGCGCGCCGGCAAGCCCTGGGGAAACGCTGGCTATGTCGCGAAGCGCCCTGACGGCACCGCGGTGCCGCTGCTCCCGGCCCTCGGACTCGTTGCCCCTCAGTACGGCTTGACGGATGCGGAAGCGGAGGAGCGTGCGCTCGCCGTCGCGCTGTACACCAACGACGGCGAGGGCAGGCTGTTTCGTGTGCTCAACGCCGAGTTCAGCTCAGCGAAGCGCGCGGCTCTCGGCGGCGAGCTCAGCCCGCGCCTTCGAGCGTGCATCCCCTTTGCCAAGCTTCTCGAGGTGGCGCTGTCGGAGCTGCCTTCGGACTTCATCTTCTGCGGGCGGGCCTGGCGCGCCGTCAGGCACGTCTTTCCCGGCTACCCAGGCTTCAAGAACCTGCACGGCGGGCCATCGCCTCAAGTCCACGACCCGGAGCGCCACTTTGCGGACGGCTCCACCGTCTGCTGGCGCGCCGTTAGCATACCTGTGCATCGAAGCCGCACCACCCCTCATCGCAAGCCTGCCCTTCGCAGGTACCAGTTCAGCTCCTGCTCAAAACACCGGCAGGGAGTGCTGGACTTTGCTGGCTGGAGCGGTCCGAGCACACTCTTCGAGCTGGACGTCGAGCGTGGCTACGACATCAGCCGCCTCTCCTGCTTCGGCGAACACGAGTCGGAGGCGTTCGCTTCGTGACGGTCGGCTCTGCCCCACAGGCTCCTCACGCCACTCCCCTGTCTGCAGGTGCTCCTCCCCCTGCTCACGCAGTTGCGGGTGGTCGGACGGCCGAGCAAGACGTGCGTGCCTGAGGGGTGGGTCGCGGGGGATGGGCCGACGCCCGCGCCCTATCACCCCCCGGGGTCCCCACAGTACCCGCGCCGCCTTGGGCCGGATCGGGTTCAGCTCAAGCAGCTGCTTGAGGAGACGGCCGCAGAGGAGGCGGTGGACAAGCCCATCGTGGACCTGCCTTCCGCTCGGGCCTGCCTCCGGCGGCTCTTTGCAGCTGCCGACGCCAAGCAAAGGACGACGACTTCGATCCCGGGCTTCGCTTCGCTCCTGCAGGAGAGCGCCCCGGCGTCCTAATAGTGTGTGGGCGTGCCAGCTCTGACCCTCGACGTTGCTGCCCCTGCCGCAGGACGTTGAGGCCGATTTCGAGTCTCGCCAGAGGTCTCAGCCTCGCGTTGCAGTCGTCGGGCCGACCAGCAGCGGCAAGAGCACCCTCGTAAACGCGCTCTTTCGGCAGCTCGTGCTACCCACGGGTGCTCTGCCGAATACGTTGCTGCCTGTTATCATCGGCATGGGCGACGGAGGCGGCTACTCGGTCACGTTCGGGGGCGATGGGTTGGAGGAGTGTCTGCTCAGCCGTGAGCTGGCGATCCGCCCGTCGGACGGACTCTCGCAGGCGGACGCGTTTGAGCGCATCCGCCAGGCGAACGCGCTCGTTCGCGACATGCTGCGCGGCTGCATGCGTGCCTCGGATGAGCCTTCTCGCTCGCTCGAGTCGATCCGCCTCTGGCACATTAAGCTGGTCGTTCCTGCCGAGCGTGGACGGGAGCCAGCTAGCTTCGAGGTCGTCGATTGCCCGGGCGGCGGGGAGGCGCTCGGAGCGGCGCAGGAGACTGGCCTCGTCGGCGCGGCGGTCAAGCGGATCCTGCAGCACTGCATGTCCATCGCGGGGATGGTCCTCGTCAACGTCAAGGTGGACAACATCGTCTGCCTCGACGACGAGCAGCTCTTGCTGCCCTACTTTGGCGGCACGCGGCCCGACGCCAAGCTCGCCCTGACGATCAATGCCGTCGAAGACGCGCAGACGAGGCGAGACGCCGAGGAGCGCTTGCAGTACGACATGGTCCGGACGACGTTGCAGCGGCTCGGCGTCGACGCCGTCTTCTACGTGTCGGGCCGGACGATCCTGGCATGCGGCGTCGCGCAGTCCCTCATGGATGTCACCTCCTTCGAGGAGCTTCGGAAGCTCGCCTCGCTAGGCTCGAGCGCGAACACGGCGCTCTCACTTCCCGCCCTCTGCGCCCTGATCAAGAACGACCTTGGCATCGACGGGCCGCACCGCGAAGTGGTCGAGCACGGAATGCAGGAAATGAGGATCTCTGGCAGCGGCTCCCTCATTGAAAGGGCGCGGCTTGTCGTCTCGAGTCTCGGGCACGAGACGGGGGAGGGTGCGTCGCAGGCGCATTTGCTGCCGGCGCTCGAGTCGACGCACGGCGGCAGCCGCGAAGTTCTCGTCGGCCTCTACGAGTCTGGGCTGTTTGGAGGTGTGTGGAGACGCACACACGACGGAGATGCTCCGTTTACCTCTTAGGAACCCACGCGTCTGATAGGCGCCGGGCTGGCCGTCGAGGAGATCGAGTCCAGGCACCGGCAGCACGCGCTCGGAGACATCTGCCGCGCGTACGCAGCGGGTTGCTCCGACAACGTCGCGTTCGTTGACTTCTTCGGCACGTTTCTGCGCGAGACCTGGCCTCGCATGCAGATCGAGGCGCTGCTACGCGGAGCCATCAACGCCGTTTCTCTCCATCTCGAAGAGCGGAAGCGCGCGGTGACGGCAGCACAGCTGCCATTGGACGAATGCAAAGCCGAGCTGGAGCGCACGCAGCGTGCTGTGAGCGAGCTCGACGCGGCGAGGAGACACGCAGAGATGCTGTTCGCGCTCTGGGAGAGCGCCGCCAAAGAGATGGAGCGCGCCGCCAAAGAGATGGAGGCTCGCACGCACCTCGTTGCAGCGGGCTGGCTGGAGGGGTGCGCGAAAAGCCCAAAGGGCTGCGCGCTAGTTCCGTATCGCATGCGAGGCAACGTCGCAGTCTGCGACGTTTGCAAGGCGAAGCAGCCGGATGGTGCAGTCATGGCGTCGTGCCGCGCTGAGGATTATGACGTCTGCACCAAGTGTATTGGCCAGCTGTCGCGCGACGGGAGCCAGCGGGCAGCGCCCCCTGTGCATGTGGTTCAAGCGGCGCCACTGCACGGGTTTCAAGCGGCCGCCGGCCAGCTGCCTTTGGAAGGCCTGGCAACCCAGCCGCTGAAGGCGTTTCAGAAGGCGAGTTGCGCGGCACTCGACGCCGGACTCCCCAGGGAGGCTGCAGTCATTGCGGCTCACGCGGCGGGCGCTGCCGCCTTTGCCGGCCGGACGCCGGAAGAGGCGGCCGCGGCTGGAGCCGCGGCTGGCCAGGCGGCGGCACCGCCGTGGCTCGGGTACGAGGTTGATGTGCCCCCGCTCGACGGCGACGGCAGCGAGCTCTGCGGCATCGTGATTGGTTGTTTGAGCGACGCTGTCGACGCGTCCCGGTTTGCCACGTCGACCGCGTCGGAGGCCGCGTCGCTCTTTGGCGACACGAGGAAGTGGGGGAATCTGACCGATCACGAGGACACGATGAAGACGCTCATGAATGCGGACGTGCATGCCGCTTGGCGGCGATCGACCTCGACGCAAAGCTTGTTTGCTTGGTCGCAAGGATGTGGGAGGCGGTTGCTGGTCTACCGCAGCCAGGCGGAAGATTTGATCGGAGCGTTTCAACGCTGGTGCGTCGCCGAGCTGATGGCAGCGATCGAGGGCTTGATGAATGAGGGTGCCCTCATCGCAAAGCTGGTCGCTTGGGCGGAGCATTCCGCCAACCGACCTCAGCATTCGGCGGTGGCTTTGCGCCGAAGCATTCCGCCGAGCGACCTGAGGTCGGCAATCGCGAGTCGGGAGATCATCGCGCCGCCGCCTCCCTCCCTAGTCGGCTCGATCTCTGCGCTTCCATATGCCGCGGGAGCCTTTCTGACGCTGACCGCCCCACTGTCAATTCCAGTGGGTGTTCTCCTGGGAACTGCCAATCTCTCTTTGATGGCAGCCAAGTCAACCTTCACCGGCGAATCGTCGTGGGGTTTGGGCTACTCGACTAATGGTGAAGTCACGGGCCTCGGTTTCGACTACTGGGAAAGCATCGCGAAAGATTCAATCAATCACGTTGTGGCCTCGCAGACCAAAGCCGTCCTGTGCGCCTTGCGACTCGACTTCTCTCAGCGCGTTGTCACCTACCAAGCGCGGCTAGATTGCCCCGCCGCAGCTGGCGACCTGGCTGGTCAAATACACGCGTTTGACGTGACTGAACAGCTGCTGCGGCGGCTCAACCAAGCCTTGCAGGAGATCGACGAGGGTTCGTCCGTGAGGCATTCAGCCACCCTGGAGACGATTGGTTGTACGAATGGCGGCGCCGGTAGCGTGGGTGCGGGCGGCACCGACGACGAGGGTGTGGAACCGGGCGATGAATGAGAGTGTGTGACAAAGTCGAAGGGAAGGTGTAAGGTAACTGGCAAGGGTGGTGTAAGGTAACTGGCAAGGGAAGAAATTTTCTCCTCACACTAAAAACAGATAACACAGGGTTACAGCTGTAAGTGGCCAGACCGCCGAGACACACACACACACACACACACACACACACACACACACACACACACACACACACACACACACACACACACACACACACACACACACACACACACACACACACACACACACACACACACACACACACACACACACACACACACACACACACACACACACACACACACACACACACACACACACACACACACACACACACACACACACACACACACACACACACACACCGCCGATCGGAAGATGTGGGAGCCATACCATACCCCGCAAAAAGTCCGAACCCTGCCGCGAACTTTGCCAACAGGATCTTTTTCAAGCGAGTCCCCCCCCCCCCCCCGGGGGGCACTGTGTCGAGCTGTGTCGAGCCTGTCTGCTGTGCTCATCGCACGAACGAGAGCACAGGAGCCTCACGCTCGCAGCGCCAGCCAACTTCACCCGGGGCCAGATTCCACTCGACGACCACGAATGAGCCGCGCCTCACTCGTCAACGGCATGGACGAGCGCGACCGTCAGCGCCTCCGGTCCCTCGCACGAACCGTGACGCGGCTCGCCTTTGGAGAGCAGTCCGTCGACAGGAAGTGCTTCGACGCCCACCTCGCGGCGATGTGGGTCGAGGAGTGCGATAGCACTCGCAGCCGGCTCGAGCGGGTGGCGGATCGGTGGTGGGCCACGGTGGTCGCCGCTGCGAGCAGCGAGGCCGCGGGCTCAGTCCCTGCCACCGCGTTTCTACGGGCGGTCGACGAGTGCATTGGTGGGAGCGACGCGGAGCGAGCAGAGGCGCTGTGGCGGACGCTCGGGCCGGGCGAGCCGGCCACCCGTGCGAACGTGCCTCGCCTCCTGGCGGCCGCCTTTGGGCTCGACGGCGCTCTGCATCAGTAGTCATCTAGTGAAGACAGCGCGGAACACTCTAGGCCGCCGCCTTCGAGCTGGACGACGACGGCGGAGGCGACCCGCCGTCAGACAGCGCGCCTCGCCCCCTCCCGCCCGCCTTCGTGCACGCGGCGGTCTCGGTCGGCGCCGGAGGCTCTTCCCTCTGCCGATGGTGCAGTGCTCGTCGGCTGGATTAGGGAACTGAGGTGGCACTCATGAGCCGGTTAGGCTCGTTTACCTTACACCCCGGTGGAGCGCGCGGTACCTGCCTCGCCTCTCCTGCGTTGTGGCGGTCCGCGCCAGTCCGCGCCCTAAAAAGAAAGAAAGAAAACAGCTACGGCAAACGAGGGATGGGACGAGGACAGGGTCCACACCTGCACGAGCAGGATTTTGGAAGAACGATCAGGGTGACAGGTGGGGCTCTCCTGCTCCTGACAAGGGACACGACAGGCTCGCAGCGCGGTGCGCGGTGGACTCCCACATCCACTGGCGGTCTCATCTCAGTCTAGCGACCTGCCTCCAGCTTTTCGCTGGCAGTCTCTCCTACCACAGGCACACTGACACAGGGGTGGCAGGGGCGGCGGCACGAGTCTCCCACATACTATGCGGGCCTGTGCGTGGCCATACCGAATTCTTTGTTTGCTCACGCATCGAAAATGGCCGCACCGATTCTTCGGCTGCTCGCTCTCCTCCCGGCCTCGCTCTGCTTCCAGCTGGCTCCGCAGCAGCGCAGCCTCGGACCGGCCTGGGCGCCTCGGGCCGGCGCCGCGCTCGCGCAGGCGGAGGCCGACCCGGGCGGCGGCGACGACGACGGGCTCTCGCTCGGTGATGAGCTCGCTTCGCAGCTGCGGCAGGCGCTCGGCTCGATGGAGAAGGAGGAGCTCCGTGCGAGTGACGAGCGCGTGCTCGACTCGATGGTCGACGAGCGCAAGCAGGCCTTCAACGCCGTTCAGGGCGACCGACCCTCGCCGTCGCCGCCTCGAAACGCCGCCTGGGCCTTTCGCGAGCCCTCCCGAAGCCTTGCGGGTAGGCGACCTCGCCGACGCGGCCTCAAAGCTACAGGACGAGCTCGAATCGCGCCTCGAGGCGGAGCTCACTTCAGTCAAGGCCGAGGCCATGGCCAAGATCGACGCCGCCGTCGATAAGCTGCGAGCGAGCGCCGCCGCCGCCGAGCCCGCCGCCGCCGCCGCCGCCGCCGCCGCCGCCGCCGCCGCATCCCGCGACTCGGAGCTGGACTTTGCGGACCCTCGGCGCGCGCTGCTGACGCCGGGCTCGCGCATCGCCGTCGTCGGCGCCGAGGCCGAGCTTGGAGCCGACCGTTGCCTGCTTTTGTGACTGCTGCTGCTGGCACCGATTCACTAGGCGCCAAGAGACCGACCTCGGGGCGACCATTCTTTGCTACCGACGGTTGCAGCCTCACTGACCATTCACTAGGCGCCGAGTCCGAGCTCGGTGCGGCCCTCTGCGACGCGCTCGCCGCCTCCGGCGAGGGGCGGGAGGTGGCGGCTCTGTGTGCGTTCTTTCTTCGCCGATGGCGAGGGAGTGTGAAATAGGCGAGGGGCGGGAGGTGGCTGTGTGTGCGTTCTCTTCGCCGATGGCGAGGGAGTGTGAAATAGGCGAGGGGCGGGAGGTGGCGGCTGTGTGTGCGTTCTCTTCGCCGATGGCGAGGGAGTGTGAAATAGGCGAGGGGTGGGAGGTGGCGGCTCTGTGCACGGAGCCGGAGGGCGGCGCGGCGGCCGCACTCGGCGTCGAGGTCCGCCATATCGCGGCTGTCTCTCGGCTGTCTCTCGGAGATGGTCTCGGTTGTACCTCGGAGATGTCTCGGCCGCATCTCGGCCGCATCTCGGCCGCATCTCGTCCCGCCAGGTCCGCCCGTTCTCGCCCTTCACGCCGAGCGCGCTGGCTCGCTCGCTCTCCGACGCAGACGCCGTCCTCGTCCTCTCGGAAGGTGGGTTCGGCTCCATAGCGAGGTAGGGGAGGAGCGCCCGCATCACTGCGGAGTCCTGCACAACTCAACATCTGAGTCTCCTCCCCCTCCCCACCCTCATAATCGCTGGCTGTGCCCGCGCCAGGGGCGTGCGCCCTCCCCTTCCCCACCCTCACACTGACTGCGCGCCCTCGCCAGGGGCGTGCGGCAGCGGCGGCGCCGAGCCCAAGGCGGTCGGCCGGCTGCTCAAGGCACTCCCCGCGCGCACGCGCCGGCTGCTGCTCGTCTCGACGCACGGCGCGTCGACCACCGGACGCTCCGTCCCAGCTCCCACTCCAGCGGCTCCATTGATGCGTCCGCGTTGAGGACAGGTGTCGACCGGACAAACGCGCTGCCCTTCTCGATGGAGACCACGTTTGGGTGGCAGCGCCGGAGCACCTCTCTAGCTCGGCGCCAACCCCGGGGGCGTCCGCTGATGGTAGGAGAACATGTTCGGTGGGAAGCTCGACAAGCAGCGCGCGCTGGAGCAGGAGGCGCTGCTCGCCGCCCGGAAGGTGCCCGCCCGCCCGCTCATTCGTAGCCTCACTCCGCTGGCACTCTTTTCGTGCGCTCGCTGCCTCGCCGCCCGGAAGGCCCCCTCGCCGCCCGGGCGTGGCGAGTCTCATATCTCCCCATCTCTCCCCATCTCTCCCCACCCAGTCATGATGAGTATCGTCAGTTATTGTGTCACGAGCACCGCCCGTTGCTACACGCGGCAGGCCCTCCCCGGCCACTCCATCGCCCGGTTCGGTAAGCTCAAGCCATCGCCACGCGCCTCCTCCTCCTCCTCCTCCTCCTCCTCCGCCTCCGCCTCCGCCTCCGCCTCCGCCTCCGCTTCCGCCTCCGCCTCCGCCTCCTCCCCCTCCGTCGAGCTCGCGCCCGGGGACGCGCTGTCGGGCGAGATGAGCACTGCTGACGCGGCGGCCGTGCTGGTCGAGGCGCTGCGACGGCCCGAGTCGGCCGACGCAGCGGATGGTGTGAAGGGAGAGTGCGGTGCCAGCCTTGTGTGACTCCCGTGCATGCTGCTGTGCCGTGTAGGTCAACGCGACCTTCTCCGCCGCGCCGCGCTCCTCCTCCTCCCCCCCGCCCGCCGCCGCCGCGGGCGCCGGCCTGCGCGACGAGTGGCGCAAGTTGGTCTGAGTGTCATCAGTGATGTACTGTGACATGTGATCAGCGATAGGCCTCCACGACGCGCTCCTCGAGCCGGTCTAGCACAGTGCGGTGTGTCGCACCGCAGCCCGACCCGCAGCGATAGGCCTCAACGACGAGTGGCTGAAGCTCGTCGGGCCAGAGATCTACCGCCGGCCGCTCGAGGCAGTGACGCCGCACGAGGCCCCGCCTCCTCTAGACACACACCTCGCCCACGCGCACCGGGCCGTGCACTTTGGATGCCGTGGGGCGCCTGTCGTCTAGACGTGGAGGCGCGAGGGTCGCTTGGCCCTTGCCCCACCACCTCGCGTGTGTGGAGAAGTTTACCTTACCTTCCCTTCCCTTAGGCCGCCTCCTGGCTGCGCGAGTTTGCGCGGCAGCTGCTGCGCCCTGGACAGGGCCTCCCCACGCCGGTGGCTGTGGCGGGATCGCCCGACGGCGTGCTGCCTCTGCATCGTCAAGAGTGAGTCGTAACTAATAGGTGACTGTGGCGGACCTGCCCGATGGCGTGCTGTTGCGTTTCGTCACGACGGGCTACGGGTACGACTCGTACGAGAAGGAGGAGGCGCGAGAGCACGTGGGCCGAGGGGGCGGGGGGGGGGGGCTAGAAGACAGCGGCATTGGTGTGTGTGAGTCGTAGGCGCGCGGGGCGGAGGATAAGTGGGCCGAGGGGGGCGAGCGCGCGAGGGGCAACCGGGCCGCTAGATGCACACACACACACACACACACTCACACACACACACACACTCACACACACACACACACACACACACACACACACACACACACACACACACACACACACACACACACACACACACACACACACACACACACACACACACACACACACACACACACACACACACACACACACACACACACACACACACACACACACACACACACACACACACCACCACCACACACCACCACCACCACCACCACCACCACCATCACCACGCACACAGCTGCACCTCCACCGAGCGTCCGCCTCATGCTCCCGCCCCCAGCTAGCGAGGCTCACTTCACCGAGGAAGCGCAACGGCACACCACCTAGCAGCCATAGTGACGTGCACCCAACCCTCGTGCCCCCAGCCCTTCCCAGGCCACCCCCGGGCGTGGGCCATCAAGGAGTCATCAATGAGTAGCCATGAAGTCGTGATCACTCACTACGAGTAACCGGTTGAGTAGGCAATCCGGACGGCGCACTCCGTCTCCTTGCCGAGTCGGAGCCGTCGGCGCGGCTGCGCGTCGCGCGCGCGGAGATGGCGCCGGGCACGCTGGTCAAGGAGACGTCGGAGGCCGAGATGTAGCCGAGATCTAGCCGAGATCTAGCCGAGATCTAGCGGAGGTGCAGCCGAGATGCAGCCGAGATGCGCGCTGGTGAAGGAGACGTCGGAGGCGCGGGGCAGAGCTTGCGCCGGCTCGCCCTGTCCCGGACGCGTCCATGCCACGCCCGCGACACGCCGCCGTAGGAGCTGCTGCTGCGCCGGCTCGCCAAGGGGATCGACGAGCTCGAGGCGGCGGCGCGCCGCTCTCGCTGACCCGCGCGCCTCACGCCCCGGCAGCTTGCGGGGCCGCTCGCCCTGGGTGGTGAAGGCGGCAGCGCCGCTCTGCAGGACCCAACTGTGTGCGGCCGAGCCGCGCGCGCGTCCTGCCAATCCTCCACACACACCGTGTTCCGTCTCTAGAGTCTCTAGAGTCGCCGAGGTTGTGCCTTGTTTGGTGGAGGCATCCCGGCCTTTCCGTCGGTGCCACGGTGGGTGGGTCCCGTGCGGCGAAAAGAGATGTTTCCCCCACAGCCAGAGCCACACGCCCGGAAACGGGCAGGAGCGCGCGCCCCCACGGCAGTCGGCACAATGCACTCGCTTGCTTTTTTTCGCTCCAGTCCTGCGGATCTTCATATAATACCTTGATAGACCGGAGGGGTACGAAGCCTTCTCTAGCGTCTACGGCTTTCCTAGGGACCGAAAACTCACCTCCCCCCTGCGGCCTTCTCGTTTTACGGGATCTCCCATCCAAAGAGGCCGGACCTCTTGCCGTACCCCAAGCGCTTCATTGCCTTGAGGTTCGATTGCGAGAGCTCAGCTAGGGTCCTCAGTGCCCGCGCGGCCGCCTCCTTCTGCCCGTCCGTGCCGCCGCGAGCCAGCGCCACCAGCGGCGCGATGCCGCCCGCCCTCGCGATCGCCTTGTTGTCGTCGTTGTAAGCGAGGACCCGCAGCGCCTCCGCGGCATGCACCTTCTGCCCGTCGGTGCCGCCACGAGCCAGCGCCACCAGCGGCGCGATGCCGCCCGCCTCCGCGATCGCCACGCTGTTGTCGTTGTTCACTTCATGCCATACTCCATTACCAACCTGGCTGATGACGGTGCAAAGGAGCCCCCTAACAAATATTGCTCGGCCGTCCATGGAGTCCGTCTCGATCTGGAGGAGACGGGTCAACCCCGTGACGTGCCCGGAGGGGAGCTCACCCTCCGCCACGCAGAAGCTCAAGCGCGACGTCGTCGCCAAAAAGTACTCCGCCGAGATCGAGTCGATGTACTGAAGGCTCGGCCGGCAGAGGCGGAGTCCGGGTCATGAAGTGGTGGAAGGCGGCCCCCTACCCATGTCCCCTGCGAGCACATGTCCCCTGTACCCGTGTCCCCTGCGAGCACACCCAGGCGAGAGCGAGCGGCGGGCGTAGCCGTAGGTACGTCGGTGCCGCCGCCTCCGGCCCTTACGTACGGCTCTAGTACAGTGTACAGAGTAGAGAGTAGTAGGCCTCAGTACACATGTTTATCTCTGTGCGAGCGGCTCCATGGATCGAGATTTCCAGTCGCGCGCTGAAATTCTTTGATCTTTCGCTCCTGGGTTACGAGGGTTCTTGGAGGCTGAGTTGAGAGTGCAACGAGACGCGACCCCGGCTTCGTGTATACGGTCTTCGCCGGATGCGGGGCTCTTGCGGGCGCACACGTGCACACAGACCACAGTCGAGGCGGCGGCGGGGCCGCGAGACGCGCCGCGTAGCGGCTAGCGCGTCGTCATAAAGCCGTACCGCGGCTCCCCACGCGGGCCACGGACTCAAACTAATAAGCGATCTCTTTTGAGAATCTAGGGGCGATGCGAACACACACTAACTAGTCGGCTGACAACCCTTGCCGGGTTGCGTGCGTCCGACTCCAGCGCTGCATTGAGCGCCGCCATGGACAAGAGCATCGCCTGCTCCTCGGCTGTTGGCACATGGCTGCGAGGAGAGTGTTGAAGCTTGGCATTCAGCGCCTCCATCTTCTGATTGCACTTCCGAATCATGGCAAGCTCTGCAGGCGACAACGCGCTGTCGTCCTCCGAGCGGTCGGGCAGCGGCAGCGGAGTAAGCTGCACCTGCGCAGGCGGATGCGAGATCTCTGAAGAACCCCGCCCTCGGTGGCTGACCTTTCTCTTCTCCCCATCCGCATCAAGAGGCACCGCAGGGGTAGCCGCGACCATGCCTCGCTCCTCGATTGCATTGTACAGCAGGACGACGTAGGTCGTGACTGAACGGCCGTCGGGCCGTGGGTATGTGGCCATCATGTCCTCCACATCAAAAAGCCGTTCGACGTCGAGCCTCCTCTCAGCGACCCCAAAGGCGAGCTCAAAGTTGCGAGCGCGGCTCTGTGGCGTCGAACTGTTGAGAGATCCAAAGCGGATGTCATCGGGGAAGTGACGGTGCAGCAGCGCACAGAAGGCGAGCCCGTCGTTCCACGAACGGCTCCAGTTCTCAACGCTCACCCCATCATACGTGGCAGTCTCGCGCTGGCACCAGCCGAGCAAGGCACCCGAATTGAGAGGCATAGCTCGCCTGTGGCTCACAGAAGGAGGCCGGTGGCGAGAAGAAAACGGGCGCCACGTCTTCTTCCGACACCAAATTTTCTTCCGTGACGCGATTGCGATTTCGCTTCCGCATTTGCCCGTTTTCCTCTAGTTTCGGCCGCAAGCACGCGCATTTTGCCCTGCAGGAGCGTCCCGGGTACCGCGGCGAGATCTCCCTCGACATGAACGTCTGGCTCAAGGCGATCTGCGCGGCCGCCGAATAAATAATCAAATAAAACTGACACCCCTCAACCCCGAGAAGATATCTTGAGCACTTGAGCACTGGATAGGGTCGGTTCCGCATGGTACGGGACCCCTCGATCGTCTCGCCCACCCTAACTGGTGTGTTCATTGGGGGGGGTCATAACAAACACGGTACAGGAGATATCTGGGTAAAACCAGCAGCAAGTCTAACTCAGTGCCTCGGGTGGCTGCGTGCTCGGGCTCGGCCCAGCCGTGGCGCCGAACCGAATCCTCCCCCCGTTGAGAGCTCCGCGAGAAGCCTGAGCATCCCCTCCTTGTCCAACTTTCTCACTGCCCCGTCGCCCACATCTCGATCTTCTTGGGCAGCAGCTGGTTCGACAGGTCCTCTCCGTGGCCTAGACAGCCGTGGCGGCCCCCGCCCCAGGTAAAGTCGGCGCCGTCGGCGGTGTGTGTGTGTGCGGGAGTTTGGTTTGTGCGTTTGTCGGGAGGGAGCGGGGGCCGCAGGCTGCTGCTCACCCACGTGCACCGGGCCTTGCACTTTGAATGCCGTGGGGCTCCTGCCCTCCGGGCTGGAGATGCGAGGGTTCCCAGTTTGGAGAGTAATTAGTCATTAGTAATTACTTTCGCGCAAGTATCCGCCCTGTAGTATCCAGCCGGGCAGCGAACGGGCGCGTTCCCTAGAGAGGTACCACGGGTTGGAACGTGTGAAGCCCGATGGCTAGCGGACGGGAGCAGAGCGAGCCCGTGCAGCTCCTAACCCTAACGACACGGTGCTTCTTAAGAGGTCGTGCGCGTCGCTGCCGACGCATCTCGCGTGTATGGTGTATTTGCAGTGTATTTCGGCGGGGGCGCGCATTAAAAGAACATTGAGGCAACACACACGTCCTCGAGCGCCCGAGGACACGAACCAAGCTGCACCTCCTCTCACTAGTTATTGTGGGCTCTTTCTCCTTTCTACACTTCCTCGCTTTCAAACACCGCGTTTTGATGCAGTGAGGGCGGGCCCCTGTTCTTTGAGCCTTGGGGACGACCACGGCCTTGACCACACGGCCTCGCTGCAGGGAAGCAGGAACGCGCGGCATTGGTGGCACAGAGATCCCTACCGGTGCCGGCAGTGGTAGGCGCACCGCCGCTCTCTCCGCTGCCGCCTCCGCCGCTGCCGCCTCGACTGCTGCCGCCTCCGCCGCTGCCGCCTCGGAGATGCCAGAGCCTTCGAAAGTAGTCGAACTTGTGAAATTTTCAGTGAAACGGGGGCGGCCGAAATGTTTCATGTGAAATTCACATGAATTCACATGTGAAAGTGAAAGTGTGAAAATTCACTCACGAACCCTGCGGGTGTGTGCGTGTCATGTGGCTATTGCAAGTCCAAGTGACCATCCGTCTGTATTATTATTAACAACGAAGGCGCTCTCGAAAAGAATTTTACAACAAAACTCGCCCTCGCACGACGCTGGGCACGGGACTGGCGTGCACTGGCACAAACACAGGAATTTCACACTGCTTGGTGGGAGACACGTATCTCCGCGGCCGCGAGATGCGCCTCAAGGAAACGTTATTGGAAGGGGCGGTAAAAAGACGGGCGCGGACTACCGGGGTAGACTCCCGCGGCTAGACCTCCTCCGGGCATGGCTTCGCGCACCGACGTCGTCCACGGAAGCGGCGACGACGGTTCGCAGCCCACGCTTCCGGCGCCTCCTCGCGTCGCCGGCCCGGGCCTCAAGCTCCGCACCGAGGACGAGGTCGTGTTTGCGGAGCTCCTCTCGAAGAGGGCGAGGTGCAGCAGCCGCCCGCCCACCCTGCGCTGCGCCTGAAAGCGGCCCGACCGAAGCTTGAACACACAAGCGTGACCGGTGGCGCTGCTGCTCGAGAGGTGCAGGCGCAGCCCCTCCGTCGCGCAGCCCCTCCGTCAGTGTCGACGGCGGCGGCGGCGGAGCGAGGCTCACCCACGAGGAGGCGGCCGAGGCGGCCCACCCGTCGCCGATGCCGAGGCGAGGAGGGGCCGCGCCGCGGTTGGCGCGGCTGGGCAAGCAGCAGTCGAGCGTGACGGCGCACCTCCGCACAGGCGGCGCGTCGAGCTCCGCGTCCGCCGTCTCCAGGTCTGCCACCATCTGCACCGCCTCCTGCGCAGCCGAGGTGCGACGGCGCTTGGGCGGCCGCTCGTCGCACCGCCTCGCGTCGTCTGCGGAGCTTCCGGCCGGTCCTCGGCTTAGCGCGCCCGGCGGCGCATGCGGGAGGGCCGCCTCGACCTCGAGTACCTGAGCGACGGCACTCGCAAAGGGCGCGCGGAGGTGCTTCCACTTTGGCCGCCCAAAGTCCTTGCCCCAGCGCGTGGCGTCGAAGAGGCGCTCGTCCTCGCGGAGCGACTTGATGCAGCTCGCGCGCTCGAGCGTCGCCACGTTGCCCGTGCCGCAGAAGCGCACCCGCACCGACTCGCCCTCCTCCGCGCTGATGAGTGCAGGCCACCAAGGCGAGCCGCGTAGCTTGGCCCAGCACGGAGAGCCAGCAGCCAGGCCAGCGGAGCCCGTGCAGCCGGAGTGGTGCAAACGCAACCCCTCGGCCTGCGGCGGCACATCCTCCTCCTCCGCCGCCGCCGCTGCCTCCTCCGCCCCCTCTGCCTCCATCGCCTCCATCTCCCTGGCCTCCGCAGCCTCCATCGCCTCCGTCTCCCCCGCCTCCGCATCCCCCGCCGCCGCTGCTGCCCGCGCTAACCCTCCCGCGCCTACCACCTCCGCCTGCCCGACCGCCCGCGCGAACGCCACCGCCGCCTCCACCGCCGTGTC